AAGGAAGGAAGGAAGGAAGGAAGGAAGGAAGGAAGGAAGGAAGGAAAATGAGAGATTTTTGTACACCTTGTGCAGATGGTGCTTCATGGCACAGACTGCTTTGTCACTTCATGCTGCTAATAAAGGATACTTCATCTCAAAAGCTAACTGCAGCAATGTCAAACTCTCTCATGTGAAATCAATTCCCGTTTTCCCATGTGAAGGGTTTAATTTTCATAGAGGCTAAGTTTGCTAGAGAATTAACTCAGCAAGAGATGTCTAAGTGGGGAAATTGGTTTGTTTGGAAAGCTCAACAGCCCAGAAGAGATCACTAAAATCTCTCCTGGTATCACAGGAGTGATTAATCATTTCAAGTTACTGGGAGCAGGCTATGTACACCAGGTTTTGACTCCCTCTTAAATTAAAGTCAGGATCAAGCAAAGTCTGAGCTGTAATAGAAGTGGCAGCAGACTGTTATTACAGTTTTTTGTTATTCTAGATGCTTATTGTGTTCCAGTTCATATTAAATATCTTCTATGACATGATTTGATCCTCTACACTAATTAAAATGTATGTGATTGTGGAAATGTGGAAACGTCTATCTACATTAGGCAACATCTGCAGGTAGTTTCACTGAATTCTTTTGCAGTTGCATTTGCATCATTTTTACAATTGGTATTGTAAAAATACCAATAAAAAATGTCGAGAGGACAAAGATAATGAGTAATACCTCATGGTGCATTTTCAAAGTGGAAGCTGTTACCTGCACTGGTCTCCCACTGCCATTCATTCTTTCCATGGCAAAGGTGTCAGATGTTAATTCTTTAGCTCTCCTAGTCCATTATTCTTCAAATAGAGCAAATACTTCAAAATGCAAGGACTTTGGCATGGAAAGTAAGAAATGCTATGGCAGCAGAGCATTAATCAGCTTTTTGTGTTATTTTCTTGTGAAACTAGGGAGAGAGAAAGGACAGGCCTGAGCAAAGCAGAAAAGACTGACTGGTTGCTGCCAGAAAATATGGGGCAGGACTACTGTGAGGAGGACTAGTGAAGAATTCCTGTCTGGCCAAACGGTGTGAAATGTTGGCAGTACAGATGTAGATGGGAGAGCAGTAGCTCCAAGCTTATTTCACAGGAACAGCACAAGCTGCAGATCCTGAGCCACCAGTGTCTGGTGAGGAAATCCTTATTCAATTTCCAAAATGACAAAACAATATCAGCGTTGAAATTCTTTAAGAACAACAGACCTGCCAAAAACTTGTATGCGTTTTAAGGTATTTGCACTGTTCCCTGGACACTCAGCAACCTTGGTTGAGACATCCTTCATCTTCATGAGCAGCCAAGAGCAGGTTTGATTCTCAAAAGAAAGGGCAGGTTTTATCCTTAAAAAAACTCCAAACAAAATAAAACCCCCAGCTTACAAAATAAGTAAAAATAAGTGAAAATAAGTGGATGTTTGCAAAGATAAATGTCAATTTTGATATTGTTTTCCTTCTACCTGGCTTTGAATTTGGTTTTGCTGCAAAAACTCCCAGCACGCAGTGGGCAATTTCACTCTGTCCAGCAGTGTCCTGAGATTTTCATGGTCACCAGCAGCCCACACCACTCCAGGAGGTGACCAACCACACACACCCTTCTTTTTTGGCAAAATGCCATTTCCTCACCACTGGCTGCAAAGAGAATCAGAGCCAGGAGATGTGTGGGGTTTATTTCTCTGTCAGCTGTGGGATGGTGCTGCAGTCTTGCTTTAGTGCTGCAGCTCCTGAGCAATTCTGCAGCACAGCCAGCTCTGTCTTAGTGCAAATTCAGTGCCTGAGTTGCTGTCCTGATGCCTTGTGCCTTGGTGCAGGGCTCACACACAGACATTTGTGCCTGGGCTCTGGCATGCACCATTCCTCTGCACTATTGCACCATCCCCTGCACCATCCCCTGCACCATCCCCTGCACCATCCCCTGCACCATCCCCTGCACCATCCCCTGCACCATTCCCTGTCCTCCGTGCCTCCCTTGGAGCCCTGTGCCTGGCTCAGCCTGCTGCTCCCCTGTGTGCAGGGCTCAGGGTCAGTGCCTGACCCAGGGGGTGCAGGGCTCATCCAAACAAATGGCTCAGTGCCTTGTGCATGCTCACTTTGCTCTGGAAAACCCTTGGCTGGGCTTTGGAAGGTGCTATGGAATCAGTTAGATCCCATTGTCTTGCAGCAGCTGTGTCAAAACCACTTTTGGGGATGGTTTAGATCTGTTTTTATTTTTTTCTTTTTTGCTCTAATTTATCTAAGCACAGGCAGCATTTAATACATAGAATTGTCTGTGAGCAGAAAACAGAATCATTTAAATTAATGAATCAGCCTATTCATAGTGGAGGGGCTTTCATAAAGTGGTTTTGTTATTTTGAAATCATGCTAAACAACTCTTTGAAAAGAATTAATTGCTCTTAAAAGTTGGGTCATACACTGCAGAGGCCTCACTTAGATTTCAAGTAAATGTGCATGTGGTAGTGCCAGGTCTGCAGCCCTGTGGGGAGGGCACAAGGAGCGAAGGAATGAGCTGAGGAACAGATAAAAGTTTGGGAACCAGCCATCCCCAGGTGAGGTGACACATTCTCCCCTGAATTTTTACACATTTTTACCACCCTGAGCAAGAGCAGCCAAACTTCTGCAGCTCTTGAGCCAAAACCAGCACAGTATGAAAGGTAGCTTTTGGTATTCCAGATTGTTTTGTTCACATTTCTGTTCTTTTTATTCCATACCCCTCCTCTCTTTTGTTTTTTTTTTTTTTTTCTTTCAGGCACCTCCAAGCCAGCAAAGCTTTCTTTTTGCCCTAAATAACAGCAGAATGTTTGTGTTTGCATTTTGTTCTTGAGATGTGACTGGGTTTTCTTGGTTTTTTGGTTTTTTTGGGGTTTTTTTGCTTGTTTGTTTTTTTGGGGTTTGGGGTTGTTTTGGGGGTTTTTTTTGTTTGTTTTTGTTTTTGTTTTTTGTTAGGGTTGGGATTGAAAGTATGAGAGACGGAATTTTGTGTTTGGACTTAGATGTTTATTAATTCTTATCTATGTTACAGTGAGTGCTACAGCACTTTTACCTAACAAGGTAAAAATGGTGACATGACAACCTATTTTTCTTGTTATAAGGTTTTTTAAACTTAAACTGTCTAATTAAGAAGTAACACCTAAGTTATTTTTATTTTTGACCTAATAACCAAACACCTGTGACCTGCAGTGCAACATTTTCCATCCAATTAAACAAGATCCTACTTAGATGCATGAAGAAGAAAGAAAACGTCTGCCCTAAAATCTTAATCTTACTTTCTACTTATTACTATATTTTAAAACTCAAAATTTCAAATCCCTCACCGTGTGATATTACACACTTCTACTCAAACTACACACTACTGATTCTAGTTCTATCAATTAATTAATCTATTCTATTAATTTTGGCAGCGTTCTCCAAGGCCTCAGGTGAAAAGCAGCACTTGGGAGCTGGGGAGAACACCTGGAGACAGAGCATTGTCTAAGAAAAGATGATTTCAGTTAGTTAAAAATAGCTCATGTGAATTGGCCAATTCCATTTCTTTCCATTTCACTGGAAAAAAAAAATACAGATAGAAAATCCTTTATGTGAGGCTCACTTAGCTCATATTGAAAGGTATAAAGTAATGAATAAGACATCTGGTGAGTTTATACTAAGTTAATTGTAGAAATGTGAGCAAACTACACTTAAGCCACGCTGTGTTTTGGCTACATTGCAAATTGACCCCCAGACCTGTGGCCCTTGCCTTTTTTTCTTGAAGTAAGCCAGACATTTCAAGCTCAGGGATGAGTTTTCCTCAAGGCCAGTGGTAATTCCATGTATCTCTGCCTCCCAGCTGTGTCAGTGTTTTGTTGCAGGTGAATTTACAGGGATTGTGCTCACCACAGTCGTGTGTGGTCAGTGAAGTGTGTTTCTGTGCCTCAAATGAAATGCTGTAGCAGAGGAACTTCACTCTGATAGTGTTTGATCTGCTGTGCACAAGACTCAGCCTCACTCATCTGCTGCCACTGCAGTCATTGCCTCATTTCTTTCTGGCATGAGAACAAATACATGAAAAGCTGTAAGGCAATCCCCATCCACTGGCAGATATTCCAAATTCCCTGCAGAAACTCTTCCAGTAGATCTCTCTCCCCTCCTGCCTCTTTCTTCCCTCCCTGCTGCCCTTTTGTGCTTCTTCTCACTGGCCTGCTCCAACATAAATCATGTTCCCATTTTTCTTGTCTGGATTTTTCAGTGCTCCCCACATTGTTTGGATGCAGAATGCTTCCTCTCACTGAGGAACATTCAAATGAATGGGAGAGGAAAAACTTCTGGGGTTTCACTGAGCTCATGTCAAGTCTTGAAAATACGTTCTCTGTATAATCCACCAACAGTAAATCTACTGGTTTTAGTTTAAAAAGTCATCCTAATATGGTGAAGCCTTTTTTTCCTGCCTTTTTTCTGCCCCTGCTGCACTCTCTTTTCTTCTGGCCAGTGATTCCAAATCTGAAAAATACTCACAAATCTTTAGGCTACTGTAAAAAAGATATAATATAGAATAGAATAGAATAGAATAGAATAGAATAGAATAGAATAGAATAGAATAGAATAGAATAGAATAGAATAGAATAGAATAGAATAGAATAGAATNAGAATAGAATAGAATAGAATAGAATAGAATAGAATAGAATAGAATAGAATAGAATAGAATAGAATAGAATAGAATAGAATAGAATAGAAATACTCCAAAATATATTAGAGGTATGTGACCCTCTCATGAAGCACTGAACCACTGTCAGATTGAAATGTTCTGCTGGAAAATTGAAGGATTCTTTTCTGACCAATTCTGTTCCTTCTCTGAGATGTAAATTAGAACTAGAAGTCAAAAAAGTGGTGTAAAATTATGTAGAGAGCTGTGATACACATACATCTAGGGCCATAAATAGCTACCTGTAGATCTAAGTGTCCTATAGTATAAACAGATAAATATTCATATGTGACACCCATAATACAGATAGAGATAATCTGCATGTATTTAGAGTTATTATTTTAAAATTAGAGTTGGTTGCTAAGTATTTTGGTGTTTGTATCATTCTTATGTCAACCTTTTTCCACAAAAGTGTACATGTACGTGTACATGTTTAAATGCAGTATTTTCCCTATTTTTTATTTCTTAATATATTGCTCATCACTGGAATTTCAGTGCCACATAGATAACGACCTTCACTAGGAAAAGAGATTAGTTCTTCATTTTTCTTCTGATTCCCACCTTTTTTTTTCATAGTTTTTTTTCCTCATCACACCATGAGGAACAGATGACATTGCTTTAAAAAAGAAAACCATAATTTTGAATTTCCCCAGCAATTCTAGCTCTACTATCTTATGGAGACTACTCAGTAAAACAAGTTTAATGTTAATGACCAAATTATTAATTCTCAGTATTGTAAGAATTAGTATGTACACATGCAAAAACTGGAAATGCTTTGGTTTGGCTGAATCTGATAATTATAGGTGATGCTCTCCCATCCTATTTACAAAAGAAAGAACTTTTAAAATTCCAGACTTTTTAGGTCACAGCTTTGGTTTCCATAAAACAACACATCCTGAGAGAAAATATCTTGTACTGGAAAGAATCAACGCGTTGTGGTGTGCAAGCTGTGCTGTGAGGTACAGTGCTGACCACAGGAATGTGATTTTACCCAGCAGTGCAGAGGGAGGAGGGCGATGTGTCCTGCACACCTGTGCTGCCCGTTCGGGATATTTTTTAGCACAGGTTGCAGAGACCCCTCCTCTTTCTTGCAGTGTCTGCCACTGAGGTTCAAACTCTGACATTAATTACTGTGTTTGCTTAGGCTTGTGCACACTCAAGGTTTCTCCTTTAACCAAGTCTTGATAGTTTCATATTCCAAATTATTTTCTTCTCTAAATCACCAGAGTGCGCAGCACTGTCATGTAGTTTAGTTACAATCCTCGTGTTTTCTCTAATTAGTTCCATTTCCATACCTCAAATAAATGAAAAGGTTCTCTCGTCTTTCCTTGCAAACGGGCTGAAACTGCTCCTGAGGGAGGCATTTCAGAGCGTGGCTGTACAAAATGTGTTTTAGAAAACAAACTGAGTGCCGTGCCCAGAAATCACTTCTGCCTGGCTTTGAGCTGAATGTTTGATACCCCATCCAATGCTTAATGCTTCTTGTTCTTCAGCACCCTCAAATACGGATAAACATCTCCAGAAAAACAAGGCACAGATATTAACAGGTTCCAGAGCATTAATTACCTGAGGGCCAGGTGGGGAGGAGTGAACAGGAGGGAGATGCCCAGGGCAGGTGATTTCTGAGCGCTGGCACTGGGCCAATGCCACCTTCCCCAAAAATGCTGCAGGGGTGGCTGTGGCACATCCTGTGATGGGCCCTCCTTCCCCTCCTGGTCTGAGCTGGTCCCTCCCGTTCCCAAATGAGGCTCCACCTGTCTGGGTGGCTGCGGGAGTGCTCTGGTGCTCCTGCAGCCTCACCTGGGCTCTGCTCACCTGGGCTCTGCTCACCTGGGCTGGCTCTGCTGCTCCCACAGCCACACGTCTCCAGAGCCCCTCAGCACAGGCGGGGCTCTGGGGGTTCTGTGGGAATGAAACACGACCCTCTTGTGCCGAATATTCCCCATTTTCCGTAACTCGGTGCCTGCTGTTGCCATGGGAACCAGAGGGAGCTCTGCACGCTCCTGGTCCTGCTAGCGAGTGGCTGTGGGCTATCAGGGGAGATCTGTGATGCACCAGGCGAGTGAAGGGCTTGGGGATGGTTTTCCTGTCAGAAAATGCTACCTTTGAGCTGAGCACAAGAGTTTTTGGAGCCTGCCCCAAACTTGGCTGTAACTGCCCACCTCGGAGCTTGTACGTTCTGTGGTTGTAGAGTGTCAAATACTCTCTTCTTGTTGTTTCTCCAAACTCAGAGATCAGCACAAGTGGTTGTTGCATGTCCCTGAAGTGCAGACCTGTGTCAGGAGTCTGCCCCAGCAGCAATTGAAATGCTGAAGCTCCTCAGTGCAGGGCCAGCTTGTTTGGAAAGTCATTAGCTGGAGTGCTGCACAAAAAGCAGAGCTGTCCCACAGGGTGGGTGTGAGATGGGAAGCACCAGAGGGGAGGCAGATGAGCAGAGAAACTCAGGAAAGCAGTGGGAGGAAGCCAAGGGTCCTGCCTGGCTGGGCAGTGCTGCCAGAGCTGCAGTTACACACAGAGGGGAGGGAGGATGCTGGGGGTCTTGGACAGATGCATAATAGTTCGGGTGATAATTGAGAAAAGCAGGTTACCTGATCATCCCTTCTCCACACAGAAGGCAAAGGTCAAACAGGAGAAAAATCCCAGCCTTTGGGAGACCCTGCCTTTGTGGCCAGTTTGGCTACCACAGCTTTTTCTAAATACTTTCAAAAATAGTATTGAAAAAAAAAACAACAACCAAACAACAACAACAACAAAACAAACAAAAAACCAACAAAAAAATTCAAACCAAACCAAAACAAAAAACCCCCCAAACCTAATTGAAAAAAATAGGCAAACTCATTAAAGTATATCCTTTCTGTTGTTTGATCAACACTGTTAAGCCTAAAGGTAGTAAAACTTTTTTTTTCTTTTCAGGATTTTGAGCTGAACAACGAGCTGAAAATGAATGTGTTGAATTTGCTGGAGGAAGTTTTGAGAGACCCTGACCTTCTGCCACAGGAAAGGAAAGCTACTGCAAACATACTGAGGTAAATGCATTTCTAATTATTTCGCATTAACTGTAGCACAGAGTGAGCTAGACTGTGCACCACAGAATTCACAGGGTTGGGTTTTCCTGCAGAGAATTCAAATTTGAAGGATTACTAAGTGTTTTGTGAACCGTAGAGCAGAGGCTGCTGTAAGTTTCATTGATAAAAATACCTGTATTGGGAAGCTTTGCTGCAGAGCAGCTGACAGCCTTGAGTTCAGCCCTCGAGCATGAGTGAGAACAGCTCCGCCTACAAACTCTGAATATTTTATTGACACTGATTTTCAAGTGCATTGTTCCACAATCCTGAGGAGCAGCAAACATTTAAAGACTAAGCAACGAGTAAATAAATACATAAATTAGTTGCAACATTTACAGGCTGAGGAGTGATGAAGAATAAGACACCATGAAAATCACAGTTAAATCTATGGTGTGCTTTGTAAACGTTTATCTAAGTATCCTGCAGGTAAACCTGTAAGTGTGCAATGAATAAGAGCATGCCTGGATTTTCTAAGACCATTCAACAGGTTTCCAGCAGATATATGAAAAAAATGGCTGCAAAATTCACCTCTGAGGACAAGAGATAAGAAACACAGATAAGTTCTTATTAAAAGCACCGTTCTTCTTATACAAACAAAAAATAATCCTCCTTTTAATAACACTGTGTGTGCTGCTCTTCCAAGTAAAATATTAACTTCATTTTATGTGTTTCTTTGAAAGAGAGAGCAAGTCAAGAGCAAGAAGGATGAGGATGATGTGTGTTTTGATAATGTGAAATATTCTTGATTGGCAGCAAAGGTTCTACTCAGAGTGGGTAAAATTACCTTAAAACTTTGGGCCTCTTAAGGAAATGTTTGAAAACAAGCCTGGGTTTGCTGTTCCTGGCAGGAGGGATGGATTTACAGGCCTCTGCCATACAAGATGGTCAGCAATTTATTGTGCTTGCTTTCAAATTAGCCAATTTCCACCAGCAGTTGCATCAAAAAATGGACCTTTGTGTCTGTGTGTAAACAATGAATGGTCTCCATTTGCATCCCTTCACTGCTGTTCTAGGAAATGGTTGTTGTTGTTTCTCCTCTCTCCCCTCCTAGAACTGATTACTGAGTACCTGAGCACACTGCCTGATACACCAGTGGATACAGCTCATCAGATACTTCCATTTCTCCAAATTTTTCAAAAATTCAGGCTGAATTTTTGACCATTCTCTGAAATTTCATGTTCAATTTTTTTAATTTTTTTTGTAAAGGAAAAGAAAGGGAATAGAGTTTTTCCTTTAGCCTTGCCTGAAATCTCCTTTATTGCTTTTCAACACTGGCAGTGCTGCTAAGCATACATGGATGTGATATTTCAATCCCACTTCTATTTCAATACAATTTCTTACCCTTTCAAGGGGGTGATGTTCAGATCACCCGGGGGAAATGTCTGGTAATTAACAGTGATTTCCAGAGTTTAACAAACACTGTAATTGCTGCTGGAGACACGGGCTCTCAGCAAGGCTATGGAGTTAACTGTGTAGTGTCACAGATACAGTCACACACAAACAGCTGCAGATTATTCCTTATGTCCTGTAATTCCCTTTATAGGACATAAGGAATAATCTGCAGCTGTTTGTGTGTGACTTTATCTGTGACACTGACACAGGAGTGCACTTTCCTTTGCTCTTCCACAGTCCTTCATTTTTATTGCATACTTACATTCCCTATTTATTTATTATTAATACTTATTAATTTATATTTATTTATTTAATATCTAGAAAATAATCAATATTTACATTGTTAAAATAGAAATATTTATAAGGTTTAAAAAGCGCAGTGGAGTTGGTGGTGGGAGCAGGGACCTGCTGTCCTGTGAGCTCTCAGTCCTGGGGCATCCTCTGCTCCTCCAGCTCCAGGAGTGGTGCTGCGTTCAGAGGCAGAACCAGCTGCTCTTTGACAACTCAGCCTTGCAATAATCAGAATATCAAACGGGGGAGTAGATTCTGTTAGCCGTGGAAAGGGGTTTTAACCCTTTAAGTGCAGCAGAAATAAGATGCACAGCTCCATGGGCGTCTGTCATGACAGGAAGAGCGAGCCAAGTTTATTCACAAACACACTTGGTTTTATAGCAGGACTGCAACTCCCAGAGCAGAGAAAAGGAGATTGGTTCAGAGAGAAGACACCCCATGGCCAGGGCCTGGGCACACACCACAACAGGGGTTCTATCTTTGTTATTAATTCCTTTTTATTGTGACCAAATTATCACCCTGGGAGAAATTCTCCCTGGCTTGAGCTGGAGCAGCTCATGGGCTGGGAACAGAGCTGAGAAGCTCCAGCCTGGAATATTTTCAGGCTGTAATTTTCTTACTTTCTCAATATGTGTCCCACAGGGGATTTGGATTTCCTGGCAGGCTGCCAGCGTTCTTGTGCCAATCTGGAAATGATTTCATGGCAGGTGGGAAATGAGCAGGGACACAGAGGTGACACTGACCTGCCTGTGCCCTCTCTGGCAGCACAGCTGCACCAGCCCAGAGGGTTTGCAGGGCCGCAGGGACACAGCTTTTCCTGCTTTTCCACTAGGAACAGCAGTGCCAGGAGGAGGATGTGAGGGCTTCTCTCTGCCCCGTGCTGCCCTGGCTGGTTCCAAGCCCTGAACCTGCTCTGCCCCAGCCTGGAGAGCCCTGGCTGTTTCTTTCTCAAGCAGAGATCGGTGTTTGCTGTAGGAACCAGGCTCCTGCTGGCCCACAGCTGAGCAGCTCCACTGAGCCTCCCTGCAGAGGCTCCACATCCCTGCCAGGGCATCCTTCCCTTCTCTGCATCCCAGGGGGGATTCTCTGTCCTGGCAGGTGGCAGTCACTGCTCTGACTGTGGAGAGAGGGTCTGCGGTGGGAAAAAATTGTTCCCCGAGTTCCTTCAGCCTTCCATAGGTTCTTAGGGCCATTGTGAAGGGTTTGCACCAGCAAGGAGCCCTGTGTGGTGGGACCCTGTGCACCAAACCACAGAACAAAGAGGAAAAGGCAGGGAATGCAGCACTCCTGCCTCAGTCTCTCCCCTGCCATGCAGGAGATCCTCTCCACTAAATTCCCTGAATTTGGGCATCCTGGCTGTTTCTCCATGGGCAATGGCAGAGCCCAGGGTTTGCTGTGAATCCCCCTGGATGTCCTGGAGACCCCCAGGGTCTGTCCTCTTGCAGAATGTGCAGAGATTCTCCCAGGCTTTGTGCTCCTCTCTTGGCTCCTGTTCCAGGCTCTGGCTTTGAGAAAAGCTGCTCAGGCTGTGCCCTGCTCCTTGGAGACATGTCATCCTCCTCATTTCCTTCTGAACTGACACCTGTCAGCTAACAACACTCAGAGGGAAAATATGAATTACCTGGGACTGAAGGGCTTTTTTTTACTGTTGTTTTACTGAAACCAATTTGTTTGAAGATTTCTGACAGCGTGCTTTTCATAAGAAAGCACAGATCTGTCGTAACTGGAAGTTTTGATGAAACTTTCATTCAAAAGGTTTCTCTGGCACAGGTTGAAAATGGGAAGGAGGAGCAATCCAATTGATGTGCCCTTCATAAAAATAGTCACTCACCCACTTGCTAAGTGAGTGCTATAAAATTTTGTTGTTCTGCAGAGGTGCTTGCTGCAGGCACTTTATCTAAAACGTGTTCTGTCAGAATTCTGGGTTGCCTGTCAGCTGTCACTGTAGGCCCTGGCTTCTCAACATCTCAGTTTTTGTGGTCTACTCTTGAGTCTGAAAGGTTGACAAATGCAGAATGGGCTCAGGACAAGCATTTATTGTAAAAAATTCAAAACAAAAAAAAATTTCAAGCATTCATGAAAAGAAGTTCATGCTTTCTGAGGCTTACCACGGGTATTTTCTATGGCTCCCTGAAGGATATTGGTTAAAAAAATGTCTTTTTACAAACTGCCCCAGCCTTTGCGTGCGTGCACATCCTTGGAAAATCCATCCCCTTGCTAGCAGAGATCAGAGGAGGAGGAAAGTTTGGTTTGTGTTCCAAAGATGCATCATGGTCAGCTCTGGAAAAGGCTCTGTTTGGAATATGAATGACAAGGAAAATGTTGATGGGAGATGCTGAGCTGCTTCATGCCTTGAGTCATCCAACAAAGCAGCTGGTGTTTCTTGCATGATGGGATTTCTGTTGTGTGGACTGACAGGGTTTCTCTTCAGGGTAAAAAAGCTTTTTTAAATTCAGTATTTGTTCTGAAAGCTAGGCAAACCTCTCAATGTACATTTTGCTTGAGATTTTATCAGCCTGGATTACTAACCCCTGAAATCTGGATAAAATTTAATTGATAAAGGAGCAGGAAGATATAAATTCAGACTGAACAGAACTGAATAACTTTGATAGCTAAACGTATCTGGAGAAAAACAGGTTACTTCAAGAAACAGCTTCTCCTTTTTCTTCAGACTAAACATAAATGAAATCGAGGGATATGCAGATGTCAGAATGTGATGGGTGAACTATTGTCTGCCTTGTATGATCTCAGCAAACAGCACATCTCAGGCTCTCTAACTTGCACTAGCTTTTAAATATTTTTAATAGGCTTTATGCACCACAAAGAAAGGACGAGATATACATGCTCATGCTAATGTTTGCAGGTAGAAAATTATTTTAATATATATCCTGGTTGGGCATGAAGAATAGTGAGACAGAGAGAGAATATCTTAATTGATGATTCTAAGAATTAGAAAGATATTTATTTCTTTTATAATTTTTTTCTTCATTTCTGAAGATACTGGAGGAGTCACCCTGCTCAATCCTCCCCAGGGGTGATGCTGCTCAGGAGAGCCCCTTTCTCTTTCTCCCTGTGACTTTTTCCACAAGGATCTGCTTCTTCCCAGCTCCCAGGAGCTCTCCAGGGAGTGCAGTGGGACCTGTCCAAGCAGGGCTGGGCAGCCCAGGGAGTGTCCCCAGTCCTCTGCTGAAACTGGGTGTCCCCAGGCTGACAACAGCACAGACTGAAGTGGAAGCTGCTGTCAAAAAAATACCTTCATCCAGTCTACAGGTCTGCTGTCCTCTGCAGATTTCACTGAGGAATGTTTATGGATAAAAGGAGAGTTGGTTTGTTGTTTTTTTTTTTCTTCATGAGACCACTGTGCTAGGAAAAAAGCATCTGTTTAGAATGACAGATTGAAAGTCTACATTAAACATGAGATGTCATGGTAGAGAGTATCAGGAAGCAAAGGTGGAGGGAAGTTAACTGCTTTCAGTCTTTTAAGAACCCCATGTTTCATACTTTATTTCATATCAAGCAAATGCAACAATTCCTGTCTCAAGGGCGAGAAGCTGATCCAGCATAAAGTTGTATTTAAGTAATGCAGATGGTGGATTTTCCGAGGTTGATGAGAATGCCTGGGGCAGAGGGACAGTGTGGCTTTCATTGTCACAGGGTGAACCACACCTTCCAGCACAAAATAAGCTGCTCTGCAGGACAGATTGCCAGGCTATTTACGGGCACTGAGGCTGCACTCCTTTATTATCCAGGCAAGAGGCTTAGGGTGCTCCTGGAGAGGTAAACACGCCTTGCCCATCAGGCACAAGGTGTTTCCAGCCCTTGTGGAAAAAAATAAAACTTAAAAAAAGTGTTCTGTGTGGATTTGGACGGCTGCAAATGGAGGGAAGGAGGTGTGTGAGATCCTGCCGATGTGTGTCTGCATTTATTTTTAAATTTGTAATTATCGGCCAATATACTACATCAGGGTAGATGGTGTTTGATAAATACTTACTTTTGCCTAGTTAATTTTTGAGCCATTACTCTGAAATAACCATAATAATCACAGGTTTTCTGCAGCAGAATTGGAAACATTCATTAACACTTTTATTCCAGAAAGGAAATAATGTCCTAGCTGCAAGTAAAAGCTGCAGTTTGCTGTTCATTTCCACAGTCTGAGCTCAGTGTGGGACACTGAACAGGACAATTTCCAGGTTCATTAGCTGAGAGATCCTAAACCTCCATGGAAATACTTACTTGTCTCTGATGTTAGAACAGTTTAATCCACTTTTACTTAAAGCAAGACATTACTTTTTTTTACAGATTTTTTTTTTCTTTACCTACTCAATTGCAGACTTAAGATTTATTTTAGATAAACCATTTTGCTGATCTGTGATAAGGTTTTATCAACACCATAGGCAATTTTATTTATGCAGGATGTTCTGCTACTTTATTTTTCAGGACTCTTTCCCAGGATGATCAGGACGATAACCATTTGAAAATAGAGGATATCATTCAGATGGTAAGTTCATCTTTAGAGTTAAACATAAATACTCCTATAGAAATGATGTGTGTTTGAGTCAATAAAGTGTAACACAACTGCAGCTTGTAAAGTATTTCTGGAGAGATGTACTGTTCTGTTATACCAGGAGTGTCCATTTCAGTTTAGAGATTGTGAAACTTTGGAGCCCATATAAAAAATGAGCGCTTCAACACTTCAGTACTTGGATGAAATCTCAACATTTTTTAAAAAAGGGGAAGATATGAATATATATGAGATTGTCAGTGCAGGATGTGCAGAGTTTAATTAACCTGCATTCACACTCCTGAGCTGGTGCGTGCCCGCTCTGTGGATTTCCAGCCGGGCGCTTGTGTTTGCCTGCCGTTGTTATTAATCCTCATTTCTCCTTACCCTGGAGCTAACTGCAGCCCCGTGCAGAAGGTTCCCAGGCAGCTGCTCGTGCCCTGTGGCACACAGGGAGAGCCCTGAGTGTGCCCCTTGGTTTTGCAGCCAGACTGCCCCAAGCCCGAGTGCTTCGAGACGCTGTCGGCCATGGAGCTGGCGGAGCAGATCACCCTGCTGGACCACGTCGTGTTCCGCAGCATCCCCTACGAGTGAGTGTGCCACCTCGGGGGTTTGCATCCCTCCCTTTGCCCAGCCACTCTGCACAGGGCAGGAGCTTTGTTGAGGTGGCCAGCGCCCCAAAACCCACTCGGGTTCACGAGTTCTTTAGTGATGGCTGGTTCAGTTGTGGACACACACATTCAGAGAGCTGGGGAATTACAGCCTGGGAATTCTCTCCAGGCCTGGATTTCTCCTGACTCTCAGCTCCATTCCCAGGCTGACAAGCTGACTGCAGCTTCAGTTAGGGAGGAGTCTCCCAGGGTGACAACACGGTGACAAACAGAGTGGAATTCATCACCAACATTAACCCCTGGTGTCTTTCCCGTGGGACACATCCTGAGGTGCTGTCCCAAGGATGTTTTTCCCAATTGTCCAATGAGCTCCTGTCCTGTCCTGGCTGCACTGACAGGCTGTCTGTACAATAAATTGGCCTTTTTTCCCCAAAGAGCTCCGTGTGTGTTACTGTCCTTTCTCTCTCTTTGCAGTAACCACATTCAGTCTATTGCAAAATGAATTATTTGTTTAATAGACACAAAACTAACAGGCATAAGACTTAAAATAAACTGATACTACACAGGAATAAGGACAAAAAGAAAACCACTACTAGGTGTATTCAGCACAAGGTTAAAGGTACCTCTTAATGATACAGCTAGAGAAGAAATAACATAACTTAGGATTCAATGGATCTTACCATCCAGTTCTTGGTGGGTCACACATCAAAATCCTTCCCCTCAATCCCCAGGGAAGTAACCACAGAATCTGTGTCCAAACTCCAGGGAGAAGTCTCCAACACCTTCAGGGTGTAGGAGTTTTCTGCCTTTGTCATAACTCGTGTCTTTTATAGTTTGTAACACAATCAAGAATATTTCTTTTATCCCTTCCCACATCTGTTCTCCAGACTAAAATGTTAATTCTCAGCAGGGACCTGAGCCCTTTTGGTGCCAGAGATGACCCTTGCTGGGCCTTCCAGCCCCTGGGTTATCTGTCCCAATCTGCACCAGCTGTCTGTGGCAGGCAGGGGAGGACAGCCCTGCCACGAGTGTCCTTTGGGGGGACAGGGGCCACCGGGCTGGGGCAGCCCCCACACCCCCAGCACAGCCCTGACAAAAGGGTTTGCACACAAAAAAGGATAACGTGGTGTAAATAGGGTCACAGAGCTGGAAATTAGGATGAGGTGACTGGGGAGAGGGGATTAAGAGAAAAATAAATCTTCTTTACAATATCTACCATTTCAGACAGCATTAAAAATGGTATAGTGAGATGCTGGAATTAGTGTAAAGCTGTGTGATTAGCTTCCAGCAAATCGAGGTATCCTTGAAATCTGCTTAGGCTATGGTTACAGACAGACTCTGTATTGTGTTTATGAAGATTTTGTTTGCTTTTTTCTCTCCCACCAATGTCTAGAGAGTTCCTTGGGCAGGGCTGGATGAAAGTGGATAAAAATGAGAGGACGCCCTATATTATGAAAACTAGTCAACATTTTAATGATGTAAGTACTCTCAAATACAGATTTGCTTTCTAGGAACCCCGTGGACTGTCTCTGACCTCTGGAACAAAAACACTGGGTTTTGTTGCAGTGTGATGTAATGTGTTGTCTATTAGTGACTGGATGCTGCAGCCTCTTTGTAATTAACCATCTAAATCAAAGCAGATGAAGATTCTCGTTTCAAATAATTGGTACTCAGCATTTCAGTGGCAGTTTAGGAGAGTGGAACATTTTAAACTGCAGCACAGTGCCTTTCAGCCTACTGAAGAAACTGCAATTTCTGCAGAGAGAAACAACACCAATTCTCTAACTCATTTGTATCCCTCAACCTGGCTTTCTCTTTTACCATACTGCTTGAGTTTTACTGGGAGATTTCCCAGTCACTGATGGCTTGGAGACCTTCCCATTGCGTGCCCAACCCTTCTTCCCTGTCCCCATCCTGCCTCGAGCTCCTCTCCCAATGTCCTTTCCACGGGCGTTTATCGGGAGATCAACCTCTGCCATTTCTGTCACGCCTAGCTGGGCGTTCTCCCGCCTCACCCATCAGTTTGTGACACCTCAGAAGGGCTTGTGCCTCCAATCATTTCTCTCTCCGTGGCCAGATGAGCAACCTGGTGGCCTCGCAGATCATGAGCTACGCGGACGCGCCGTCGCGGGCCAGCGCCATCGAGAAGTGGGTGGCCGTGGCCGACATCTGCCGCTGCCTGCACAACTACAACGGCGTGCTGGAGATCACCTCGGCCCTCAACAGGAGTGCCATCTACAGGCTCAAGAAAACCTGGGCAAAGGTGTCCAAACAGGTGAGGGGGACGCGGGCTCGGCGTCCTCGCAGAGCGGTTCTGGGCCCGTCGCTCGCCCTGCCCAGGGGTTGGGACAGGACTCTCCCCTCCTGGGAATATTCCTGCTTTTCCACACCCTGGGACTGGCATTTCCTGGCCAGCACTTCTCTGTGTAATTTTTTTTTTTTTTTTCAATGTGGGAACAAAATGTCTTCAATGTAATTGGCGGGCGCCAAGGACTGTGTGGCCTGAATTGCTGAAATGTTCAAGAAAACTGAATTCTGGTATTTTCTGATAG